TAGACTCGAAACTATTGGAAAATGTATGGTCAATGGGGAGCGTGAATTGAGGGAGGAAGATAAGAAGCAGGAAGACTGAAAAGGCATCAACAAGAGAGTGGGAAAAAGTAACTAAAGCAACTTCCCACATGGCAATGAATATTTAAGACATACTCCAGAGATGGTAATTGATGAGTTCTGGTGACTACTGAATTTGAGAAGCTAAACAGAAAGAGATGGTCTAAGGTGATCCCCAGGATTTTAGCATGAATGGTAAAGGTGGCAATGGTATCATCTGGTGAGGAGTTCACCACTCTCAGTGATCATTCATTGTATTATTCACATGATTCTGAGTTCAGGTTTTATCATTTCAATTTAAATTTGGGTTCATGATGGGACAGTCAGGTTGAAATGGTGGATGTATGGATGTGACACTTTTTAGAGCGGTCTGAGCTGTACATAAAGACTCATGAGTTAACAGTGAGTAGATGGTAACTACAGCCGTGGATTTCTACTCAGGTAGAGTGGATAATCAGAGGAAAGACCAAAAGCTTAAAGGTAATGTCAAATGTAAGCTGTAAAATAAAAGGTAACTGTCCAAGGACTTATCTAAAATATTTTTATTAATTTAAAGTTTATTTCTTATTTATTAATACATATGGAAATTCTAAGTTTTTGGAAGCAAATTAATCAGATACTTTGTCAATCTGGTATTAGTGCTTCACTTATATATCAAAATAACAACAGATAATCACATCTGTTTACCATTTTTCTCACATCTGAAAACAATGCAGGTTAAAAAAAGGAACAGCAAAGAGGCCAAGAAAATTTGATGATCCAACTCAAGCTCAGCATCAATAATAAATCTTAGAATATCAAGGAACTCAAGTCTTTCATTTATCCTAAATTTTAAAACATGTTTCCTCTATTTACAGTCTTGGGGGAAAATGTTGTTATAACAGTAAAACTGGAAGATTTCACTCCGGATTGCTACACATGGACTGCTTATGTATATGTACCCACATTGCTTCATAGGCTCTACTCAAAAAAACAAAAGTGCAAATAAATGAAAACACTCCTAGGCAAGAATTTCACCATCCTGATGAGTATTAGGGTAGTCTGTAGTTGATTTCTGGGTTTTGCAATTTTAAATATTCCTCTTAATCAAGATGTTTAATAAATAAGCAACTTAAATAGGCTGAGCAAACTGGATCATTCTCTAAGATACATACAATTTGCATATTCTTTCACAGACCATTATTATAGCTCAAATTCTTAATTAAGATATCTGAAGCAATTTGATACAATAGATCCAATCAGAGTCAGGGACAACCCTAGTCTTCTGAAGCTCTTAATTTAGTGATAATCAAATCGGAATTCTTAATAAAATGCTCAAACGAAAAATACACAACTCTAACTTTCCAACGTACATCCACTTTATAACAAGCCAGACTTTTGGCAGCATCCCATTGCAACTGTTAAAAAGGCTTTATCTCGTCTCATAACTATTTTTAAAAGACTATAATATAAAAATTCAAAGATGAAATTTCAGTTAATTATTCAACATATCTAAAATATTGAAGTATGGGCTTAACAGGTATATGTTGGGCCTTCCACTTGAAGATATCATATTCATCAAAAGAGAACTCTTATTGTTATACTCTTTATTTACTAAATTTAACTTTAAAAATCAGTCTTAAATAATAATAAACACCGTTTAAGTATATACAGTCTACACAGAAAGCTATTTAATAATACAGTTCTGAAAAGAGATAGAATATCCTCTAAAACACTCTCTCTTAATATATATGGTAGTCCTAAGATTTGCTGTTGCCATCTTCAGAATAATTTCATTACGACATTTGATGTAAGGTGGCGGGGGTGAGTGTACAGGGGAAAACAAGAGCCTTATCAGCTTCCTCATATAGAGAAACCCAAAATGGCTTGATTCCATACATAGAATCACTGTCACTATAAGACATAGACAACAGTTTGCATTAATATGCCAACATTAATCAAAGAAAAGGTAATGTAAAGAATACCTAAAACATGAATGTCCTTTCATTTGGGAAGACTAGGGCCTGACAACGTCCATTTCCAACTTGCTGCACAAAAACTGTAACAGTGTAGATGGTTGTAGATAGTGGTTATTCCTGAACCTGCCTCCATTGTTCCCGGTTCATACCCAGCTGGGCAGATGGCCAAAAGGGGACACACGAACATAATTCAAGGCCATTGTGTCATACACCCAGAAAGTGGACCCTGACATCAGACTGTCTTGCAGCTCTAGAATAAGCAGTACTATTAAGGGGGAAAATCAGGAGATAGCTCTTAAAATGCAGCTGTATTTAATGCTAGACGTTAAGTGGATCATGATACTGTCTCCAGAATTTTACTCTCACAAATTCGCACAAACAGCTATTAAAAAATACCATTCTAGTGTCCTTTCTTTACAAAATATACTTCCTAAAATGCTACTTATCTCTTACAGGACGTCTGTAAAACTATAATAATACATATTTAAATAATAATGATGGTGGAATAAAATAAAATGTTATCTATGATCAATATTATATTTGAGAATATTAATTGAAGATTACCTGCAATAGAAAATTAATTTTTATTACAAATCACCGCATGTTTCATTTTTACCTAAAAACACATTATATTTTGAGAAAGTTATTTGCTTATATACTGTACAATTGCTCTATGTTACTTTCATTCACCAGTAATGTTAATCTTTCCCATTTAAAAAAAAAAGACTCAGTGGGGCACAGCGGCTCACGCCTGCAATCCCAACACTTTGGGGGGCCAAGGTGGGCAGATCACCTGGGGTCAGGAGTTGGAGACCAGCCTGGTCAACATGGCATAACCCCGTCTCTATTAAAAAATACAAAAATGTGCCAGGTATGGTGGTGGATGCCTGTAATCCCAGCTACTTGGAAGGCTGAGGCAGGAAAATCACTTGAACCCAGGAGGTGAAGGTTGCAGTGAGCCGATACTGTGCCACTGCACTCCAGCCTGGGTGATAGAGCGAGACTTTGTCTAAAAAAAAAGACTCCACGTGACAAAACTTTGTCTTCCGTGCGGGCTGTGTTAGATTTAGATTTTGTTTTTTCAAGTAACTTCAAAGTTAATGACCTGCTTTTTACAAAAATCCTAATTTCCTAATATTACTTATTTACAATTATTAAAATAGAAAATTGATCTATCATACGAATCTCCTTTGCCATGCATACATATAAACGGACTTTAAGATCACAGTTCACTTATCTGACTTTTAAATAAAATATTATTAAATATTGGCCAGGCGTGGTGGCTCATGCCTGTAATCCTAGCACTTTGGGAGGCCAAGGTGGGTGGATCACCTGAGGTCAGGAGTTCAAGACCAGCCTGGCCATGATGGTGAAACCCCATCATACAAAAAAAAAAAAAAAGAAAAGAAAAGAAAAATTATTAAATATTTTAAGAATTTTTAAAAAACTTTTTGAACTGGTATTTCCACAAAACACAGTATATCAGTATCCAATTAAAGTTGCATATTTAGCATAAGAAAGAGTGACTTTTTCCTACTTTTGTAAACAATGTATAACAATTATATAAACCCATGTCATGATTTTAAAAAAACTATAAAACTACCTTGAACACTGGGAATTAATTCTCACATTCTAAATCTCTCTTCACCCTATCATTTTCTATCTATAAACAGATGGATATGTATTCCGATATGAAAAGTTTTGTTGATGTGTGTCTTCATAAACCTTCTTACTTTTATAAAACATGCAATAACATTTCTCCATATAAGAATATAAGACATGAAGAACCTACGATGGGCATAGATACTGCTTCTTTTTCCCCTTCCCTTTCTTTGAAGACTTTTCCTTAGAATAGGCTTCTTCCACCCACAAGGAAATTAAAATTAAGAAAGCAGTTGCCAATAAAAGCTTCATCTTGAAAACTTAAATTTCAGAAGATCAATCTACAAGAGAGAACAAGAAAATATTTACATTTATGAAGCAAATGCTAACTCTCTGACTGTCCCTTTAAGTAAGGAGTATAATCATTACTACCCAAAGGGCAAGTATATGTGTACATCAAATGATCATTGCTCAGTCCTACATGGTAATACTTCACAATATATTTGGTATTTTTATATAGAAGTTGTAAAGTCTTTTTTATATAGCAGTAAAAGTCAGTTTAAATAATGGCACACAGAAAACAAGATCCCAACGAGACATTATAGGTTACTGTGTAAAATTTCTGATTCTATAGCTACACAAAACTGTAAATTGATATTGAATTGCACAGCATATCAAAATATGTTTAGAAAGCCTCTGGAAGCATGCTTTAACATGATTATCTTGGGCTAGTACACTGGCAGTACTTCTTAAAATTTTTATATTGTTTGAAATATGTATGTATATTTTTTCAAAAACAATCTATTTTAAAGCACAAGACAATTCCAAGTGTTCAAAAGCTGAAAAATGAAAGAAAAAATTAGTATCAAAGAGTTTCACATTCTAAATTCATTGTTTTTATTTAAACGCATTAAATTGGCAAGCTACCTTTTTGTCCCAAAAAGCTGCCTCTTAAGTTAACTTTAAAGCTTCCCTACTTATTGGCTAACATTTATCATCAAAAACATAACTTCAGAAATTCTAGGTAACATTATATGAAATAAAACAAGTGTACTTTTTTTTCAAATTATCATCCTAGCCATATTTTAATAACATTTTCATGCTCAAATCAGAACTATATTCTTGCCAGAGAGTCTGATAAATAAAAAATAATTAAGCGTCTACTGACACTAAAGAAGTTCAACCTCTTCTGCCTCCTTCATTTCTAAACATAAATTACTCTTTCATTGTTTTCTGCAGAGTAAAAGACCTGTCATATTCTTCAAGGCTAACTTAATTCCCTTCTCTTCCTCATAAATTTGCTTCTCCCTCTGTCTTGTTTTTCATCTTTTTCCCCCCAGGATTCTTCCCCTCATATTTCTCTTTTACACACATTCGAGGCAAGCCAAAGAGGCTTCTCCCTGGGTACTTTAAATTGAAGACAACAGAGGGGGCTCATCAGACAAACAGCAACAACGCAAGGTTCTTCTCTGGCAACTTTACAGCATTGGATGCTCCCTTCCCCCATCCGACAGCGGCACCTGCTTCCAGACACCTTTGCCCACAGCTGCAGGTACTTCTCCCACTTTCGCATCCTTGCCCCCACCTCCCTAAAAGGAGGCCGGGCCCTCCTATGGGTTTAAAGGGTTCGACAAAGAAATTCAACACTCTGCTCTGTCCTCACCACCAGTTTTTCAAGAGGGACAGCTGCATTGGCTGGAAGATCCTCATAAACAAAACAACGCAAAGAGCCCTCCTGGCCACCCTTGCATTCCCTAATTACCCCGGCCCTCTGCATCCCTCCACCCAAGCATCTCCGCGGGCGCCACTGCAGCGGGGACCCGGCTGCCGCGGCCAGGCGCCGCGCGCCCCTCTCCCGCGCCCCTCTCCCGCGCAGGGCAGCGCGCCTCCTCCCCTGCACGCTGCAGTGCTCCTCACGCTCCGCCGCCCCGGGCATGACCCGCTCTTTCCGCAGAGGCGTCTATTCCCGTCCCCAGACCACCGCCGCCGCCCCACCCCGCGTCCTCCCCTCCTACGTGGAGCTCCTGGCACTTACCGGAGGCGCCCCTGCCCGCAACGGCCGGGCGAGGTCTTGGCGGCTCCGGGCCGAGGTGGCGGTGGCTGCTGGGGGTGCAGCGGGCGCCGAGAGGGGGCAGCTGCGTCCCGGCCGCCCGCGCCACCGCCGAGCTCGGCTGACGCGCCTGCTCTGGCCGCGGAGCCTGCGCCGTGGCGCGCCGCGGTCGGGGCCGCTGCGGGGACTGCGCGGGTCGCGCGGGAACCTGACGACTGCGGGTGGGGGAGGGAAGAGGTGTCCCAACAGAGCAACGTCACGGCACGGTCCCCTTCAGGCATTGGAGGGGTTACCGAGCAGAAATGTGTCCCCCCCCCACCCTCGGGGGACTGAAGGAGTTGGGGGGGAAGGGTGGGAATGACGGTGTCGGTACAGATGGAAAAAACCTTTCAAGGAGTAGGGTTGCTTGGGGTCAGCTTTTGACTACTAGCAACAAACAACAACAGAACAACAAATGACCTTCTTGGATCAAAGCGAACAAAACACATTTTCTGTAATTTCATCATGTGACTGGAATCCAGATATCCAACTTAATCTCCGAGTCTTCCAATTTCTAAAAGCCTGACCTTTCTGAGCAAGCTTAAATTGGTCAAAATTACTGACAATATAGTCATGCAGGTAATACTATTTTTAACATCTGTTACATAATTAACATGTGTACAGAACTTGACAGTTTCAAAACACCTTTCACTCGCCTTACCTCTTGTGGCCCTCAACACATTCCTGGGCAAGTTTTGTCATCCTTCCCCTTCTGTAGATGAAGAATCTGAAACTCAGTTATATTAAGAGATTTACTTAGCATAACAGGTCTTGAAAGAAATTTACCAGAGACTCAAAGTCAGTGACATTTACATATCAGAGCCAGATATGGTCTCTGCCTTAATGATCACAAAATGCCGTTGTCCTCATCGTTGTGAAGAAGTAGCCCTTACTTGGATAACAGGTACAGTTGTCCTATTACCTCTTGAATGCGTGCCTGATTGATTTTTTTAATTTATATTTTTTAAGCAACAGGATCTCACTTTGTTGCCCAGGCTGGAGTGCAGTGGCACAATCCACAGCCTTAAACTTCTGGGAGATCAAGAGATCTTCTTGTCTCAGTCTCCCTAGTAGAGTAGCTGGGACAATAGGCACAGGCCCTTGCCCTTTGCTATTTTTCTTTTCTCTCTCTCTTTCTTTCTTTCTTTCTTTCCTTCTTTTTTTCTTTCTTTCCTTCTTTCTTTCTCTTTCTTCTTTCTTTCTTCCTTCCTTCCTTCCTTCCCTCCCTCCTTCCTTCCTTCCTTCCTTCCTTCCCTCTTTCTTTCTTTCTTCCTTCCTTTCTTTTTTTTTGCCACAGGATCTCTAGCTTTTCTGTCAAGCCATTCACCTGCTTCAGCCTCCCAAACTGATGAGATTACAGGCTTGAGCCACCCCAGCCCACATCGCCAGACCCTGATTGATTTTTTTTATTAAAAAAGCATTGTCCTCTCAAGTGAGCATCATTTAGCATTGTATTATGGACCTATAGATGTATCCACTAATAAATTTTTCCACCCATAGTCTATGGAGGAAAGGAACATTTCCTGTATATAATCATGTTCTATAAGCTTCATGATATATTCTGCTGCCTAAGAATAGTGATCATTAATAAGTGATCATTACCTTATTTAGATTCCAAAATGATCATTATTTAAAGAGCTATAATAATTGGACCCCCCCAAAGTGGAATCAGGATATAACTTTGGATTTTAACACTTTATTAAAAAGAACTATATCGATAATACACGTTTCAAAAGATACAACTTCTGGTGAATAGGTTATATGAGGAAAAATAAAGGAATTAGTTTTCATGCAACCAGGGGAGTTTAGAGGTTGAAGAAAACCTTACATTTAGTTTTCAAGTAATCAAGAAATTATTAAGAGTTTAGAATAATAGGATATTCCGATTCCTATAATAAAATAAACATCATTTATTTACAAACTCTAATGTACACATTTGGCAGAACTATGCTGAAAATACCTACAACTGACTCACTCACCTTTCCTAGTACTGTCTCTATGCCATCCTTAGATGTTATATTGGAGAATTAGGTTATTCATAACAAAATCATGTCCAGCAGTTTGGATGGGTTTGTGGGTTTTTTGCCCAAAGGTTATGAAATACAGTTGATGCCCTAAAAGCACTTTTTCTAGGCCTGTAAAATGGTCAAGTTGAGAATTTTGAATAGTTTTTCTTTGTGGATGATCTGCTTACCTATATTTATGTAACTTTTATATTTTAGTGTGAAAAGGGATGCTTCTAAATAATGTCATGAAATAACCTCTTTTCCCCAATTGTGTCAAGTGTGGATCTGCTTTTCTCTGTTTGTTTCTGTCAACATTCACTCCTTTATTAATGTCATTGTCACATGGTTTTGAATCCTGTTGATAGCTCCCAGATTTATTTCTCCTGACAAGATGTTTCTCCAGAGCTCCAGACTAATATATCTAACTGCCTTCTCGACATCTCAAGTTGCATATTTAAAAAACATGTCAAACGCAATGTGTCCCAAGCTGAACTATTGTTCTCCCTAAAATCTGCCCCACATTCAGCCTTCTCCTTCTCACTTGACGGCAACCTCATCCTTAAAATTGCTCAGGCCAAAAATCATGAAGTTGTTCTTGATTCCTCTCTTATTTACTCACACCTCACAACCAAATCTCTGAGGAAATCCTGTTTACTCTCTAATTATAACAGGAATTCAGCTACTTCTTATAATTTTGACTGCAGCCAACCTAGACTGAGTGACCTTCATCTCTACTTTAGATTCCTGTAGTAGCATTTTAGCTACTCTCCCTGCCTCTCCCATTGTCCTCTCCCATCCCTGAGTAATCTCAAAACCACAACCAGAGTGATACCTTTAAAACATGTCATAGGTCATATTGTGTCATTCCTCAGCTCAACACCCAGCAATTAGTCCCCATTTCACTCTGATTATAAACCAAAGTGTTTGCAATGGTCTACAAGCCTTCGGTTGTTACAGATCTCCTCCCACTGACTCTGACTTCTCTCCCAATTGCTCTTTCTCTTTCAGCCCCACTAATCTTGCTGGTTCTCAGCGTGCTAATGCCAGGTATGGTTCCATCTTAGGTTACTGGCTCCTCTGTCTAAAATGCTTCCCCCCGGAACCAAAATACCACACTTACCTCCATCTTATCTTCAACATCAACCCAGATGTCACCATCTCACAGAGATTTATCCAGTGTTATTTCAAAGTGCAAACTCTCTCCCATCCAAGAATTGCCAATCCCCCTCGCCCACTTTTCTTTTTGTTTTCGTAGTATTTATTACCGCCCAGCTTATCATACAATATACTTACAGTTTATGGCCTCTGTTTCCTTGCTGAAATGTAAGCTTGATGAAGGCAAAGATTTGTATCTATTTTTGTCCATTTGCATTGCCCACACATCTAGAATAGTGTTGAATGAATGAGTAAATCTTGGCCTCATTTCTTAACCTCTTCAAATTTCATGTTTTCTTATTAGCAAAATGAAAACCACAATGCCTAATTTGCAGAATTGTTCTACGAAATAAGCAGCTTAATTGACATTAAAAATCTGCTAGAGAAGAAAAGTCACAAATAATTACCCTCCTCTATTTTTACTTGTTTTTATTTGCTTAATGGAATGATAGAATTTTGTTGTTGCTGTTGTTTTTTTTTAATTTATTTATTTTTAATTTTTGTGGCTCCATGGATTTTTGCTTACTAGGACCCTGTTATCCATCTCTTTCTTATACCTACACTGAAAAAACTTTGTAGGTCTACATGTAAATACTAAGAACCTTATTTTCTTTTTTGGTTGTTTTTCTTTTTCTCCTTTCTCTTCCTTTCTTTCTCTCTCTCTCTCTCTCTGTTTCTTTCTTTCCTTCTTTCTTTCTTTTTCTTTTTTTGTCTGGCTCTGTTGCCCAGGCTGCAGTGCAGTGGTGCGATCTAGACTCACTGCAACCTCCTCCTCTCGTGCTCAAGCAAACTTTTCACCTCAGCCTCCCACATAGCAAAGAACCCTATTTTCTATGCATCCAACTTCATCTGGCCTGTGATGTATTTATTTGATTTGATTTGATCATAAAACCTAAATACAGCCTTAAATATCTGTGTTACACTAAGAAATCAGACTTTGGATACACAGAGAGTATTCTCACCAAATCATTTTTGTGTGTATGACATTAGTACTCATCACTGTTGTCATTGCCTAAATAGCCTTACAACATGGTTTAAAGATATAAATTATTTTTTTCTGTATTCTGTCTACATGAGTCATAGTTCCTCTGTAATGATAGCCTGCACTGTAATAGTCATTCATGAGATTTTTCATCAAATCTTCAGTCTATTTACCACTGTAATGATCAGATATTTGCAAGAAAAATATATCCGGCTGTTTTAAATGTGGTTCTCCTCCAAATCACCATCTTTAAATATTTGTCAAAATATATAATGGGAGAATAAATATAAATAAAGAAAAGATTGCAGCAGGAGATGATG